CACACACACACACACACACACACACACACACACACACACACACACACCCGGGGAAACAATATAACTGTTTCTTCAGATTGCTCATTCATTGAGATTACCTATGAAGAATAATGTGTCTGCGACACATTATTGTCTTCTTGCGACAATCCCATGGACTAAAGGACACTTTTTAGAAACAAATACCATTTTGCATATCTTTGAAGGAATATCTGATTGAATTTCTTTGTTCATTCTAGGTTAACTGTCACTTCCCTAGCCCAGTGGCAGAGAGCTAGCTGGCCTGCCCACTTTCCTCTCATCCCTGCTCTATCCCATGTCTTCCCTCCCTTACATTTAAAACAAATGTATATTTATCACCTATTCTGCCACCAGGCCCCTGAGCATGGCAGGGCCGCCTCTCTGTGCCATGTGTCTGGGGAGCACAGCCTCCCTGGTCTCCCACACACTGTAGGGGCTGGGTGCTGTGCTGGGGCACATGCTGCTGAATCCTTGTCGCCGTCCAGGATCTTTTAGTTTACATCAACTGTTTGGAATCTTGGGAAAGTTCATGTGGTGGGGATGTGGGGAGTCCTCAGCAATGCTTCTGGAATGAGCCTGGCTGTCCCTGCAGTGAGCACAGAGCAGCATTGTTTCCTGAAGTGCTCTGTACCTCCTGCTGCCCAGCCCCAGAGCACGCAGAAAATGCGGCCCACAGCTCCCGCTGCTCCCATCCTGAGGCTTGGCAGCCTTGCCTTCCCTCTACATTGGGAGCCATCTTGCCTGGGGGTTGGGATCTAGGGCTACCTTCAACACCTGCCTTGGAGCTGCTCAAGTAGCCAACACATCCTTGGGATTGTTGAAAGCCAGGTTGTTGCATCAAAGATGGGATGGCCGAGGAGTCCTTGCTGAGTGCTGGGCCCTCATGTCAGGAACAAGAGAAGCCTGTTGGCTTCCAGGGCCGAAGCAGCCTTATGTGAAGTGGGACTGATGGTCTCCATCGGGGAAAGCACAAGGATTTCCCCACTCCGTGTCCAGGAAGGAGGAACCTCTGTTGGCTTGAGGCAGCACGAGCTTCATTTGTGCCTTCCTCCAGGCCTCTGCAGGATCTGCCAGGCCACTCGATGGTCCCAGAAGCCTAGCTACCATGGGGAAGTCTGGTTACCCCTTGAAGCCCTAACCTGTGAAGACCCCAAGCTCCCTGGGGGCCCCTCAGGTATCAGGAAACTCCAGGCAGGGCCATCAATCTCTGCAGACCCCTTGCTGAGTGTCCCCCAGGGGGCTGGAATGAGCAACTCAGAATAGGTTGGTGTCCGTGAGAGAAGACAAGAAGGTAGGGGCTTGTGGGGAAGGGATGATGGGAGTGGTGTCAGATGTGGTCTCCTCTGGCTCGCTGTCCCCATCATCCAGGTCTTCAGTGAGAGACGGGATGATTCTGACCATACTGTCTTCAAAGTGCACCTGCTTCTTCTTGACCAGCGAGTCGGCTGGCTCCAGAGTCAGCTCTGTCAGGGTGTCTGGGCACTGGAGGGCATTGGGCTTCTTGGCCCCCTTCAGGATGCTCTTCATGTGGATGAAGAGGGAGCCAGTCCCCTCCTTGAAGGCCCCGTGGAAGGTGTAGGTTTGCTCCGTGTCCCCAGAGCCGGTGGTGCTCACGGCACTGCTGGAGGGGTCCGTGTACTGCTCAGGGGGAGCCAGCACCTCCAGGTTGGCTTTGCTCTTCTTCCGTTTGCTCAGCAGGAAGTAGGCCAGGCCGGTGATGATGAGCATGGAGCCTGGAAGGGGATGCAGGAGGTCAGGATGCTGGGGAGGAGCTGGACAGAGCACTGTCCAAGCACACTGTTCCAAAGGGGCCACTGTGGCAGGCTCAGGCCCTCTGGGCTCCAGCCTGCACATCACACCCACTTCTGATTCAGGGGCAGGCCTGGTGTCTGGCTAAGGGATGTCAGCGGGGCCGGTGCCGTGCTGGGCCCTCACCCTGATTGTTAGCCAGGGGCCTATGTGCCCGAGGCCCCCTGCGTTGACAGCTGACCCTGGAGCCACCTGCCTGGCCTCTCATCGCCATGCTTGGCCTCCATGTTAGGACCACGTGTTGGGCTGGACCTGCGATGCCCGCAGTGGGACCTGCACCCTATTTTGGATACTGGGCTCCCACTGCTGAACTGGGCTTCCATCCATTCCCAGAAGTGGGGAGATGCTCCATCCTCAGCCTCCCCAGGAAACATGGAGGAAAGTGTAAATCCTACTGGCTGGGGCTGGCCTAGCATGGGTCCCCCTCTTGGGTGGCCCCTCTTCCCCCAGTCTCCAGGCCAGAGGTCCCTCTGTCTCAGGCTGAGATTGCAGCTCTGGGGTCTCCTGCCAGGAGACCCGCCCTATCCAGAGGAAGCCTCTGGGCGGCTCTCGCTCTCCAAGGAGTGGGCGGTGGTGGCTCGCCCTGGCCTTGGCAATGCTGAATCCTCTGGAGTCCAGCAAGGGCCGTGCAGAGTGGCCTTGAAATGCTATGACAGGTACATTAGAAGAAACCACAGGAAGGAAGAAGAGGCTCTGCCTTTCGACTTTGTCTCCCTGAGCAGTGGGCTTCCCGGCATTTTGGGCGGGTCACGAGGAAGGACATGGTTTTCACAGCTAGGGAGCAGGGAAGAGGAGGCTACCAGCAGAGGAGGTCGTGGACAAAACCCAGGGCTGGGAGCACTGAGTCCTGGCTTCTAGCTGACTAGCACGGTCTATGAGGTGGAGGGGAAGATGCTGAGGCTTTGAGGGTCCCATCACGGCATGCCTTCCAAAACCAGGCTGAGGAGTTTGGACCTGAATGGGTAGGCACTGGGGAGACATGGAAGGGTTTGCACAGAGAAGTGACCATCTCACACCCTCTGAAGGCTCTGAACACACATAGGCATTGGAGGAAGGGTCTCTGTTTGTGGGTGCAGCCTCTGGACCTCCATGAAGGCACATTCCTGCTACTTGATCAGCATGAAGGATGCCTGACCCTTCCTCATCCTGTGATCTAGGCCAGGGAAGTCAGTGGGGCCATGGGGGGCCCTGGAGCCCGTGTTACTGAGGCCTGTGCGGGGGGATTCAGCCCCTCCTGCTCAGAGCCCAGGAGCCTGTGGTGGGGGCTCCCTGCCTCCACTAACTCCCGGAGCTCCTACCTGGGATGGTCACGTGCCAGACCAGGACAGGGTGGAGAAAGCAGGCCACAGAGAGCAACATGTATGCCAGGAACTTCTGGAAGCAGCCCAGCCAGCGGGCTTTCTCCCTTGCTCTGGAGGCCAGGGACTCTGGTCGACACCTGGTGGGAGGGAGTCCAGGATTAGTGGGAAATGGGAAAAAACTCAGAAAAGGCCCAGAACGTGTGAGGCTGGGATGGGGTCCTGCTGTGCCCATTTCTCTTTAGTGGCCTCTGACTAAACTCTCCCAAGGGGCTGGAGTCCTTATCATGGGTTCCACAGTCTGGGGTCTTGCCTGAGTCCTTCCAGAGGGCCTATAATTTTTCTGAAAGGCTGCCTCACCCCGTCTTTCTGTCAGGGGTGAAGGGAGCTAAATGATATCAGGATTCAGCAAAGTCAGGGGGAAGGAGAATAGGAGACTCAGGGGTCCATTGGGAGGTCCCCAGTGGAGTGGAGAAGGCACGCAGTATGGGAAAGAGCTGGCTGGGACCACTGTGTAGACTGTGCACTGCACAAGCCGCCTGGCCACCTGAGTGAACAGGCTGGAATCCAGCTCCACCTTGCTCACAGAGCCTCACCTAGGCATAAGATGGCATCAGCCCAGAGGGGCTTCTTTTTAAACTGGCCCGCAGGGACCACACAAGGGCCTGGCAGAGGCCTGATGCCCAGCAGGTTTCCTCAGCGGTGTTGCCTCCGGGTTTCAAAGGAGGAAAGAGCTTCCCTTTAGGTCCATCTCCTTCATCTTGTGAGTTGGTCTGGAGCAGGGCTCTGTCCAGGCTAGTTTGGGGGCAGTGGCAGGGGCTGGAGGATGACGCGCTGGTCCTGAGCACGGCCCTCCTCCCGCACACCATGGCCATGGCTCACTGGTGCCCTCTGGTGGACGTTGTTTTGTGACCAGACCCTGGCTGGGAGAGGGGGGAGTCCAGGACGGGGGTGGGGGGTGGTGGTGTGCGGTGTGTGAAACTCCCCTTTGGATTCAGCGCTCCTCCCTCCCGGTCCCAGAGAAGTTGCAAAGATCCCTTGACAGTGCCATTCATCGGAAAGGAGGAAGCCTGTTGCCTCAGGGCTGGTGACCTTGGGAGGCAGCTGATGGCCTTGCAAGGGACAGCTGGATTTGAGGCCTGGCTCTTTCTCTGACTACCTAGAGATGCAACTGTTGAGGTTCTGAGAGCTGTGGTCCAGGGACAGCCGTTGGCCACACTGATGACAGCTTCTATGAACTGAGCACTGCTGGACAGCAAGTATGGGCCTCCATGGCCAAGTGGCTTCCCGAGATCCTTGCAGCCCCTGACTTGTGCCTGGGTCCTAGCAGGAAAAAGAACCAGTTCTCAAATCTATCTCTGCTTACTCCGCAGGGTCCTCACCTCTCCATGGGTGCCTTGGATGGCAGGTGCAGCTACGGACTATTCTTGGAGGCGGGGATGGACTCTGCAGGGGCTTCTGGGTGGAAATGGGCCCTGTGTGAATGCTTCCCTCCACTCCCCTGGTTGGGAGCAGAGAAAGGGGACCACTGAGCCCTGGAGACCTGAGCCCATGCCCGGGCAGGGGCTGGCTACATGGTGGGGAGGGAACCCGTCCGTAGCTGCTTTGGGAGCAGACCATCACGTGGGCTGTGGCTTCACGGGTGGAGGAATCTGGGGGTGTCTGGGGCTAGGAGGTGGTGGAAGGGCTGCTCTGGAGGCTACTTACTGGAAGCAGGCGGCCAGCAGCTGAGCCACAAAGTAGGCCCCTTCACACACGGAGATGACACTTCCTATAAACCTGTGGTGGAGACAGGGAAGGGAGGTCTGGAGCCATCTGATCTGCCCTTCGCTCTCCCAGAGCCTGTTTCCCACAGCATCCGGGGCTCCTGGCCCTACAGCCAACAGACTGACCCGGAGTTCCCCGGCCTAATGCTGCCCCCCAGCCAGAATCTGCCAGGAGCTGCGTCCGTGCCAGGGCCTATGCTGGGCTGGGCCTCAGTGGAGGGGTACGAGCCCGGGCCCAGAGATGGGTGAGAGGCTACCTTGACACCGGCCCCTGTGTGGCCAGCGTCATCCTACCTACTGTCACTAGCACGACATTCGCTGCTCGGCTGTGCGAACCTGAAGGCTGGATCTGTTCCCGACTCCTTTCCTTCTCCCTCTTTGCCCACTGTCCAGTCTCTGGCCTCACCTATATGACCTGAGTTTGGGCACTGCCCCCTTGACCCCTGCACTTGACTCCCCTTTTCCACCTCCCTAACTCCCCGCCATCCCCTCTCCCTTTCCTGTTCCTCCACTCCATCCCCACTGGCTGCCCTGAGGCTCCTTCTGACACCTGAATGTGACCCTGGTCTTCCCAATCCACATTGCTTCAAAAGCTCCTCATGTTCCAAGTGTGGTCCAGGGAACTTCCAATCAGAATCTCTGGGAAAGATGTGAAATCATAAATTCCTGGGCCAGCCTCAGACTTTATATATCAGAATCTTTGGGAATGGAACTTAACATGTTTTATTGGAGGGTCCTACTGGCCTATAAAACTGGAATTTCTTAGCATGCCTTTAAAGCCTTATATGAACCTCCTTAGTCCTCTGTCTACACAGGAAGCTAACAGGGCCTTTGCACAAGCTAGCCCCTCTTGGAAGGACTCCTCTTTCCTCCTTTGTCTGTCTGGTGACTTCTTGCTTCTCCCTGTTTTACTGTGGTCCCTCAGCTACCAGTCTATGAACTCCCTTTGTCAGTTCCCTCTCTAATTCTTCCCTGTAGCCAGGCCCACCCTAGGAATGGCTTATTGTTAAGTGCTCCGTGGGCACCACTGGAGTGAATGAATGAGTGAAAGGAGATACTACCTCGCAGGAGAAGGTGGCTTGGGGCCACAGTTTCCTCAGGGACCTGGGCATTGCCCCTGCTACTGATCAGCTGTGTGCCTATAGGCAAGGGGCTGGACCTTCCTGTGCATCAGCATCCTCATCTGTAAACTGACAGTAATTACAGGGCCAAGATTTGAACCCAGCCCTTAGACTCCAGAGCCTGGGTTCCTAACAAGCACAACAGCGTGCGTGCTTTGTAAAACAAGTGCCATTGCCTTTTTCTAGATCCTGGGATGGGGGGCAAGGAGGAAACTGAGGCTTGGGCAGTAGAGTGACTCGCCAGGTGTCCTGTCTGGTGCTGTAGACGTTGTGCCTCTTGAGGCCAAGAAGGTCTGGTCACTCAGGTGGGGCAGCGAATCCAAGCCCAGAGCCCTGCCGTGGTAGCAGGATCCCACAAACCAAGCCTCTGCCCGGGGCGCCACACCAGCCACGCAGACCCTTCAGCCAATGGTGTGGCTGCTGTCTGTGGGGGAGCGTGAGGAAGGCGGCGAGGGGCCCCGCGGGAAGGAGAAAGGTGGGGGAGGAAGCCGGTGCGCAGAGAAGTGGAGAAGAACAAGGAGAAAGCCCACCATAGCTCAGTGCCTATGGGAGCCTGCTCTGAGCCTCGGCCCCTGCCGGGTCCCGGGGACACAGGGGAGGGAATGACAGTGACACAGGGGTGTGCTACAATCGGCCAACGTCCTGAGTGGAGGGGTACACGGAGGCAGGAGTCTGAGATCTGCAGGGGAGACCGCGCGCGCGCGCGTGTGTGTGTGTGTGTGTGTGTGTGTGTGTGTGTGTGAGGGAGGGAGACCGGGAGGAGGGAGGCGTTGTGATGGCCTTGGAGGAGTGAGTGGGGCTGAGTGCAGGAGGGATGGGCGGGCAGGTAGGGGCTCCCATCCCGGGCGGCTGTGGAGCGGTGCACAGGGAGAACACAAACTAGCTCACGGCGAGGGCTGGGGGGACCTGAGGCTGGAAATCATGTCTTCTAGACTGGATGACCGAGTGACCAGAGGGGCAGGGACAGAGCAGTCAGGACGGGGCAGGGTTCTGGGCAGAACATGGTTTGCATTAACTGGCTACGGACCTGACCTGTTACAGGAGGACAATCGCACCTACCTCTTACTTGAAGTGAGGTTTGTGGGTAAGCTAAGTAGAGAGAGGAGGAGAGGAGGAAGGCCAGGCTGGCTTCTGGATTCCGGGGACACAGGGCGTGGCGGCCAGGGACAGGCTCAGTAAGACATGGAGCAAGTTCAGAGCGAAGAGAGGTCGCTTCCAGGCAGCAGGGGCCCCAGGCTCAGGGCAGGCTTCCCAGGGCAGAATGCCAGGAAGGAATATCGGGCTTTGGGAATGTCCAGGTGGGTGGTCAGTCACCCTGGGTGCTCAACGGGATAAGCAAGGGCTTGGAGGTGAGGTGATGTAGGTGAGTTTGAGAAAGAGTCAGAAGCTCCTGAGGTGTAAGTTGGGTGACAAGAAATAAAATGGAGACCAGGAGATGGCAGAGGAATAGGGTCTGGAGGCCGTGGCAGCAGCCGAAGCTTCCAGAACAGCCCCGTGTTTCTAGGTAGCTAATTTCATGGCAGAGTGGCAATGGGCTGGACGGGTGGAGGATGGATGAGAGACGGTGGGGGTGGTCTACCTAGCAAATCCAAGAGCTGCCCTGGGCAGTGAGGCAGGGATGAGGGTGGGTGTGGGCAGGGAGGAGGCAGCTTGGTGACCCCGCGGGACAAAGCACAGGTGCCCCGTGTCCCTCAGGATGGGGCTGCTGAGAAGCCGGTTGGTCAGAGCCGGCTGGGACCCCAGGCTGTCCTCCGTCATCAGGCCACCACTGCACAGCGATGTCCTTCCCGCCGGCAGGCATTTGTGAGGCAGTTGGCAAGGAAGAGAGGACAGAGGCTGGGGAACTAGACGGACCCGGGCCTGAGTCTGGGCCCTGCTGCTGTGAGTTTGTTGGGCTGAGCTGCTCACTCCCTCTGAATCTGCTAATCTGAAAAACTAGGACAATATGCCCTTCTCCGGTGCTGTCAGAGTTAAAGGACACAGTGGAAACAAATCTGCTTGGCATGTAGAAGGGTTCAAATACATAGTGTTTGGAACTGGTTCCTCTCTCTCTAAAACAAGAGCTCAGTTCATGTTTGCTGAACAAAGAGATGATTGAAAAGATAGATGGGTGGATAGATGGCTGGCTGTCTGCACGGTAGCTGGCTGGCGGGCTGGGTGGAGGGACAGACAGACAGACGGATGGCTGGATGGATGGCTGTGTAGGTGGATGGATGGAAGGATAACTGTTTGATTTATGGGGTGATCTGACCAAAGCCCTGCCCAAGCCAGAGAATATCCTAGAAGCCCCCTCTACTTCTTCCACCTGAGGGATGTGATGGAGTTAGCATGGGAAAGGGGTGGGGGCTGCTCTGTGTTAGTCTGACAGACTCGGGGTGAGCCAGAGCAGAACACGCAGGCAGGGAAGGGCACATGCACACATACTCACAGCAGATAGAAAGCCAGGCTTTTGAACTGCCCCTGGAGGAAGGTCTCAGTGCCCACGCCGATCAACACTAAGAGGGGAAGAGGAGAGGGGAAAGTGGGCCTGGGTGCTCCAGCCACACTGCGGCCCTGTGGAAGGTTCCCTGGCTGCAGAGTGAGCCTTCTCCCTGGGGACTGAGAGCTAGGCTAGGCTCTTCTCCAAGTGGCACAGGGATTGGTGGCTGGGAAAATGCAAGGGAGCAGGGAGCCTTCTGGATTGGGCTCTGGAAACCAGAGAGGTTTCAGGCAGAACCCCAGAGGTCTTTTACTCCAGTCCCCGAGCACAGATGCCTTTCCTCCTCTGCCCACATTGGTCATGCCGCCATGCCTCGTGTCCCCACAGAGAGCTCATGCTCACAGGTCACCAGCCCCTCTGCTCCCCAGCTGTCCTCCACATGTCATGGCTTCAAGGGCCCTCACTGTCCTGCAGGCCATACCCGTATGTGCCGTGTGTCTGGGTTCAGTGCTTGGCCGTGGGTGGGACCGCCCCAACCCCTGTTCCCTTGCCCAGATCACTGTTCTAGCTGTTTCTGTGACCCCATTTTCACTTGCTGGTTTGGTGGCTGTATCACACACTCCTGTCTCCTTGCTTTGGACCCAGTGTTGGTTAAGCCCCTGAGGGTTTGCTCTGACATAAGAAGCTGATCGGCTTCGTCCTCCTTACCTATTCTTGGCAGTTGGTATTTGTGCTCAAGCACCTGACCTTCCGTTTGTCCAGGGTGAATATTGTCTTGGACCCAGCTTTCTAGACTTGCTGGCTCCTGGCTGTCTCCACTCTGGTGGGAATGGTGCTGGTGGGGAGGACATTTTCTGGGGGGCTCATGAGTACGGGGGTGTCACACGGGTGAGACCCTCATTGCCATGGCTGTCTCCACCCTGTTTAATACAAGGGTGCTAGTAAGCACAGGAGCTTAGGAGGGGAGGGTTGGTTCTTGCTCCCCCTGCTTCACTCAACAAGCTGTGGCTCAGACCCCATCCGCTCACCGAGGGACACATTCCACAGACAGCACTGATGTGTCCTGAATCCTTCCTGCAGGGCCGCATGGCCCACTAACTAGAATTCTTTCTGGTCCTGACTGATTGCACTGCATACATCCTCCATTTCTCTCTGGGCTCAGATGACACACCCTGGTATTGGCCGAATTGTGGCTTCACCTTGTCTCCCTTCCAGAAAATCAAAGATGGCAGGGCTAGGCTGTCCTATTTGGCTACCCGTGTGTGACCCTTCATCTCTGCTGTCCAGAAGGCTGCTTCCCTGGGTCTGATGACTCTCCTCCTTGGCAGAGACACTGTAAACTTCCACCCCCAGTGTCCTGAGCCCTTTGTCCATGTGGAAATGCTGTTCCTGAGAAGCAGTGTGAAGACCCTCATTTAGGCCACCAGCACGTCCCCCCCTCACTTCTGGGGGATTGGTTTGTGGAAGTACATCAGGGAGAAGGGCACAGAGTGCTTCAGCCTAGGAATGGAGGGGGATGTGTCTAAGTGTGCTTGGTGATGGAAGGTTCGCCAGTGCTCCCCTGGGCTTAGTCTAGAGCCGTGGAGGACACCGTGCCTCTGCCCTCTCCAGGTTCTAGATGTTCACAGGTTTGTACCAGGAAAGGGGCCAGGAGTGCTGGGCAGCCACACACACTGGCAGAAGGTCAGCATAACCTGTAGAGCACTTAATGCTTTATACACGATGGTCATGCTTGTCCTGGCTCCTCATAGCCTGAGACACAGGGAGATCCATACTTCCTATTTTACCGGGAGGCAAACAAGGCTTAGTTAGTCACCTTGTGTAATTCTTCCAAGGACACGCCAGAAAGCAAAGGACCTGCCGACCAAACTTGAGACTCTGGCTCCAGGTGGTAGACAGTTTCCTGGTTTCCACTGTCTATCAGTGTGTGTGTGTGTGTGTGTGTGTGTGTGTGTGTGAGAGAGAGAGAGAGAGAGATGTGTGGTGTGTGTGTGTACTGTAGGCAAATGCCCATCTATTCAGTTTTCACTCTGTAGCCTGTCCTGTTCTCAGCACTTAGCATCTATTAACTTTTTAAATCATCACGACAGTCCTATGTGAAAGTATTATGTTATCCTCATTTTACAGAAGGGAAACTGAGGCAGAGAGCACATAGGCAAAACCAACCTTACCAACCTAGGTCATTCCAGCATTTCAGTCTCACACCTGCCGGTTAATAGCTGAGTCACTCAATCTCTCTGAGCCTCAGATTCCTCCTCATCCCTCTTGCACGTAATGGTTATGGGGATTCAATTAGCTGACTGATGCCGAGCACCTCACAGGTGCTCAGTCCCTTGCTCACGTTCTCGTGGGCAGTCTTTGGAGATTTGCACGGTCTTGCAGCGAGTGACCAGCAGGTGGCAGGAAAGGGTCTTGGGAACCCAGCCCTTTTCTCTGATTTGTTTGGCATGTGGAGAGTTATTCTGATGCTTTTTGATGGAAACAAAAGGTCTATAGTCAAAGGGGCATTCTCGGAATGCTGTAGTGGCAGCCCTGGTTTGCAGTTGAAAAAACAAATCGATGAAACAGCAGAGAAGAGAGAGAGATGGGTTGGTATCCTCGTTTCGTGTGTTCTTCCCTTGGTAACCGTGGGTAAGCGCTTAGCACAGAAGGGGCGCTGGGCTGTCCCTGTGGGCAGAGGCCCGAGAGTGGGTCTTGAAATATCAGCCTCCACAGGATGGGCAGGGAGGGCCTTGAGTGTTTTGGGGAGCTTGAGTGACAAGTTCAGACTGGCATTTAGAAAGCGACCTGACCTCGGGCTACAGGGTAAGAGGCTTTGGTGATATTTGGCTGAGTTAAAGCGGCAGATAGGAGGTGGTGACCATGCTCCGGGTGCTCCTGGCCTCCCCATCTCCCAGCACACTGGTAGCCACTGGTTCCTTCGTTGGCCTGGCCTGAAGCAGAGTTCTGGTCGTGGCTCCTGAGGGTGTGCCCAGGTGACCTTGCTCACCTGTTTAATACAAGGGTGCTAGTAGGCACAGAAGCTCAGGAGGGGAGGGTTGGTTCTGCCTGAGCGCTCCGACGAGGAGGCTCCCCAGGCACAGAGAAGGGCCTGCCTTGCCATTGCGGCCTGTTTTTTTTTTTTTTTTTTTCTTTTTACGGGGTAGTGGAAGGCAGAAGCATGGGACCAGAAGGCGTCTGGGTTTGGAAACCCCCTGGGTGTGCCAGCCCAGCTGCCTCTCAAGGAAGTCTCAGCATGTGCCACAAGCTGCACTAGCCCCCTGCGCCATCCCCCACCCCCAGCCCCGCATCTTGTGTAGTCCGCACCACATCCCTCAAGGTGGGAATCATCAACTGCATGTTATTTATGGAAACATCCCAGCCAGACCCCTGGAGTTGCAGCACCTTGCCCACAGCATGCTGGTGGGAAAGGGCAGAGGGAAGCCAGAAGCAGGACTGATTTCCGGGGGCCGCAGGAACCCCCAGCAGAGGAAGGGCTCTGGTGGGAATGGTGCTGGTGGGGAGGACATTTCCTGGGGGGGATTCATGTGTATGGGGAGGAGTCACATGGATGAGACCCTTGTTGCAATGGGCAGTGGACCAGCTGTGAATGGATTTTTGTAATGTCTGCCACAGGAAGAATCAGGAAACGACCATCTCACTCCCTCAGGGACCTGCCTGGTGCCTAAGCTGCGGGTGAGTGTGCTGACTGCCCACCCGCCCCTCACCCGAGGCCTCTGGTGAGGGGCCCTCAGCTTGAGCAGAGTTCTCTTCTGAATGTCAGAAGTCGCCACAGCCCGATCTCCTTGCCCAGGGCAGTTCCGCCCAGCAACCCAAGAGTTCTGGTAGGCCAGGGTCCAAAGTCCCCAGAGGTCAGCCTGCACCGTCATTTAGGGCACATCCCGTGTGCCGGGCCTGGGCAAAGCAAGGCTCTGCGAAGGAACTATGCGCTGGAGCTTGGGCCGACTGTCGTGGACCCAGGAAATGAAGAGCCTGTGGAGGGTGGGAAGAGGCCCCAGCACCCTGCCAGCAGGCTGAGGGCAGCTCCATTCTGTCTGGGAACCTAGGACAGCTCCACAGACAAGGAAGGCAAGGGGAGGCCGGGAGCATGGAGCAGCACGAATGAGTCTGGGGCTGCTGCGGCCGCGGTTCTGTGGGCTTCTCTGTGTAGTTCCTGAAACCGGGTAAGGTCACAGGTTCTGCCCTGGGGCAGTGACAAGTGTGGCTTCCTGGGCCCACACCCTCAAATCTTTTTGCACCTTGCAACTTCCTCCTACCCCTCCGAGGGAGCCAAGTCCACTGAGAAAGCTGTGCCCTGTGGTGCTGGGGGAAAAATCCCATCCCCACAGTCTGGGTGCAGACAAGTACCCTGGGCATTAGACCTGCTTCTTCGAGAACTTACTCTCCTCCCTAGCACTTATCTCCCCAGAGGTCTCCTGGGCTTCTGAACATCACACAAATTGCCATGACTAAGGTAAGTGAGCCTGGAACGGTCTCCTTGTGAAGATATTCCTGCTGATCCCTGGGGCAGCAACACTCCCAGAGACCAGACCTGGTCAGCTAATTGCTGGGCTCTCTGGCAGAAAATGGGAATTGACTCCCATGTACTTAACACTGTTAGGTGAGAGAGATACCCCTAATTATAGCAATGCAATTTGGGGTTTCTTTGTTACCGTAGGCTGCACTTGATGGAAGCTGCCCACCAGCTCTTTGCAACTCCTCTCATCAAGAGGTGGAGTCTATTTCAAGGGTGGGCCCTTGAATGTGGGCTGGCCTTAGTGACTTGCTTGCCCAGTAGAAAGATACAGACTTACACTGCTGATTCACAAAAAGCTTCCACCCAGCCCTCTTCAAATCCTTGTTCTGGGGGTAACCACCCCCCATGTAAGAAGTCTGATGCTCCTGAGACCACCATGTGTGAGGAAGCCCAAGTGAGCCATGTAGAGAGAATGCTAGCGAAAGAGAAAGACAGAGAGAGAGAGAGATTCATGGTCAGCACCCCGCTGGCTCAGCCCTCTTCATCAGGCATAGACGTGTCAGTGAGGAAACTCCTAGATGACATCCCAGCCCCAGCAGGTATGAAGCGGAGAAGAACGG